CAAACTGAAAAAAAAATCTTTATTATAAAGATGACAAATTGCTATAATGTTCGCTTTCCATAAGTTTCTTTATCTCTCCTCCCTCTCCAGTGTTTCTCCACATAGTCAATAATAAAAACAGTCTCATGTTCAAGGATATCTTGATAAATTTACTCTCCCTCTCTGAAATAACATATTAGGAATGACTGTATTTAAGAGGTTCCACAGCCAGCGCCGCGGCTCACTAGGCTAATCCTCCGCCTAGCGGCGCTGGCACACCGGGTTCTAGTCCCGGTCGGGGCGCCGGATTCTGTCCCGGTTGCCCCTCTTCCAGGCCAGCCCTTTGCTGTGGCCAGGGAGTGCAGTGGAGGATGGCCCAGGTGCTTGGGCCCTGCACCCCATGGGAGACCAGGAAAAGCACCTGGCTCCTGGCTCCTGCCACCGGATCGGCACGGTGCACCGGCTGCAGCGCGCCGGCCGCGGCGGCCATTGGAGGGTGAACCAACGGCAAAGGAAGACCTTTCTCTCTGTCTCTCTCACTGTCACTCTGCCTGTCCTAAAAAAAAAAAAAAAAAAAAAAAAAAAGGTTCCAGATATCTTAGTCACCCATTAAGGTATAAATTATTTGGCCAAACAAGTTGAGAGCTACCCTCATCCTACATACATGGATTTGCCCTTTCTCCTGGAGTCAGCTTATTGTTATTACCTTTTACCAATGCCATTGGCATACTCATAGACATTGAACATACACGTGATGTTTTCAGATGTTCTAGAGGAGCGTACCACACATACACACATAAGGTTGTCAACTCCTTCCACTTCTACTTCTTACTTCAAAGTTTCTGATACTTTCTAATGATCTTGGAGCAGCCTTCATTTTCCTATCCACTCATTCACACAACAAACTTGTATCATTGAGGAGGGTATTAAAACTCTAAGATGTGATAATATAAAAATACAACCACAAGTCACAATTATCTGTACTAGAAATCTGATTATTTGCGGCATAAACCATTTTTTACATTGTGTCTTAAAGTGAAATGTCATAGATACACAGAAGTCTTGTTACTCTGCAGGGAAGCATGATTTATGTGGTACACTTACATTCATGAAAGGCGAATTATCTGGATGAGTACCGTGTAACATTGATTTAGTCATTTGGCTATAAAGAGATATTTTGATGAGATTTTACACTTTATTTATCTGTAAAAATCATTTCAAAAAAAAAAGTATTTTTAAAGTCTAAAAACCCGGGTGATGATCACAGGCTGATATTTTCAGTTGGAATGAATTCCTGTGACAGCATGAACGCACACCCCACCAACGTGTCTGTAATAGAAACCATTTCAGAAGACGGGAGCCAGCCACAGATTTCCCAGGGCCTCCCAGCAAGGCAGCAGTGGTCTTGGGGACTGATACTTTTCATCTTCCTTGAGGATAGACACCCTCCAGTCATCACCCCATAGGGTATCAGGAAGTCTGCTAAACTCTCCAGTGGGCTTGGAATTAGGCAATATCGTGCCAGTGGAACTGCTCTGTCCAATATTATGATTTATTTTGCAGGAGACTGGGAGGGAAATGTCAAAAGGAAGCTGCAGACAACATGGCCAAACAGCTGGCTGGTTTTCTGTCCCAGAAACAGCTTGGGACTAACGATACTCACAAGATGTCTTGGCAGAGGAGCTTGATGAGAATACCAAAGCTGTGAGGAGAAATGTGCTTTTGCTGACTACTCCATGTAGCTAGCATATGGCTTACGAACCTAAATGAGAACCTGTATACTTTTTTATTTTAAAAAAAAGTCTTTACATGTGGATACTGCTGCTTTGTACAGTGTGAAGGCAGTTCACCATAGCATTAACAACAACAGAAAACCTTAGTGATTTTCAGAAACTTGAATCCTTTCCCTTTCAAATAGTATTTTTGGCTGTAGTCAAAGAAGAACTTGACAACAATTTTAGTATGAATTTGGGGTCACTGCTGATTTTTTTGAATGTCAAACTTATAATGGAAACTAATTTTAGTGACTTTATGCATCTAACTATTCATTCTTTTAACAATCGATACCTGTTTAGCACTAGAGGCAACTTTTACACATGTTTCACACGTTTTTATTTTTAAAATGTTTACACATTTTTACACATTATTTTATTTACACGATTTTACAAATATTTTTCATTTGCCTGCCAGATATCTTAATGGTGGAATATGCAAGATCTGCTTTGGCTTTTTAGAATTTCCTATATTCAGTATTTTGTGATTCAGTATTTTGGGAGACTTGGCTATCATCTTCCAATGTGTTGATGAGATGAATTTATTCTTTACTGAGTATTCCAAGTAGATTCAATTAAGTGAGACATTTCATATTTTCATTTTGTGAGTCACCTTGAGTCTATTCCTTGTGACATCAGAATTAGTTTCTCATCTCAGAGCTTGCTATATTTCTCTGGTGACCTCAGTAGTTTATTGGCAGTCAGTTTGTAAAATGCTCTCTGGGATTTTCTAAATGCAGAATGTTAGCTTTGGAAATACATATCATTGTCTCTCCTGTCAAAAAATGTAATTAGCACACGATACATTGTCTTTCAGAAATGGATTAAAATCTCAGAGGGTGACCTCACATCACAGCCCCCCAGGGTACAGGAAGACCATACGGTCCATGCACATCTCCCACCCTACCCCACCCCAGCACAGCACTCTGCTGCTGTGTTCCTGTCTCTCTAGCCCTGTGTGCATGTTCACATTTTCAGTTGACTTCTTGCTCCCAGTTTCAATCTCTTTAAAAATTTTGATTTGATTCAATTTATTTCATGGGTAACAATCCACTTAGTAGAAAATCCACATAGTAGAAAAGATGAAATATTCTCCCTATTAGTATACTGAAAATACTCTCATTCATTTTTTTGTAAAAACCATTTATTTATTTATTTGAAAGCCAGAGTAACAGAGAGGTAGAGGCAGTGGCAGAGGAAGGGAGGGAGGAAGGGTGGGAGAGACAGACAGACAGGTCTTCCATCCACTGGTTCACTCCCCAGATGGCCACAATGACTGGAGCTCCACCATTCCAAAGCCAGGAGCCAGTAGCTTCTTCCGGGTCTGCCATGCGGGTGCAGGGGTCTGTGGACTTGAGCCATCTTCTGCTTTCTCAGGCCATAGCTGAGAGCTGGATCAAAAGTGGAGCAGCCGGGACTTGAACTAGCGCCCATATGGGATGCCGGCACCGCAGGCAGCTGCTTTACCTTTTGTGCCACAGTAAAAGTTTCAAATACTTTCTTTTTATGGTTGCACATAATTCATTATGTAGATATATAATTTAATTCATCAAGCACACGTTTATGGATATTAGATGGTTTCCAGTCTTATGCCATGACGTCTACCCAACTCGCACTCCAAATTCCAAAAGAATAATACCATTTTTGTCATTAGAGCTGCTGTAATAGAGTTTGCTAGATGAGGTGCTTTTTCACAATAAACATTTATATCTCACAGTTTTGGAGGCCACAAGTGTGAGATGAGGATATTGGCATGGTTGTTTCTGGTAAGGACCTTCTTCCTGCCTAGGACACCGCCAATTTCTCATTGAGTCCTCATGTGGTGGAAGAAGAGCCAGCAGTCTTTCTGGCCTTCTCTTATTGGGGGCAAATTCACATCAAAAAGGACTCCCCATTCATAATCTAGTTAATTTGCAAAGGCTCCAACTCCAAATACCATAACATTGGGATTAAGATTTTAATGTGATTTGTGGGAATGGAAGATTACAAATGCTCAATCCCTTTAAAATATTTTGTTCATACATATCATAGTATCTATATTTTTATATGTCTATAGGATAATCCCCAGAAGTGGAATTGCTAAATCCAAACTTCCAAGAGTTTCTCATTTGGATAATTATGGCTAAGGGGTTTCTTGGGGGTTTATGTCATTTTATATTCATACAACTAAATGTTGGTCCATGATCCTCTCTAGTCTTTGTATCAAAGATTATTAACAAAATTTAGTGGGTTTTGCCAACTTGTAAAAATAGAAAGGAGTTTAGCAGTGAGCGGTTAGCTAACAATTCTCTTGTTATGAGTGAGGTTCAATATTTTATCACAAGTTTAGTGGTCATTTGCATTTCTTTGCGTTTGATGGGTTGACTTTATATCTTTTGTCTACTTTTGTATTGTCATTTTTTTTTCCTTGTTGATTTATGACAGTCCTTTGGGTTAGGGTTAGGGGCATTCTTTCATGATAGATTTTTTTTTTTTTTTTGTCTAACAACTAACTGTCATTAGAATTCTCTGCTCTTGAGAAATGTCTATAGAAGTATGCCAGCCTCCTGCAGCTTTGTCTGGTGTCAGTTGTGCCAAATTATTTTCCTAAAAATCTCATCATCCCATCCAAGTTAAAGGTATTTTCATACAATGTATTTTTCTTAGAATATGTTACATCTTTGGTAAGTTTTTCCCTAGTAAAGAAATAAGCTAATAATAACAAGAAGCAATCTATGGAACTATCTCAGAATGATCATAGATTTGTTATTTTACTTACAGTTTAAATTTTTACTTTTTATATTATAAGGGTTAATAGTGTGATATTTTCAAATCAGACTTACTTTTAATTTTGATGGGCTCTTTTGTGTAACATTTTGTGACCTTTTTAAAAACTAAGGTTTTTTAGTTTCTACTATATACTAGATTCTTAAAAAAATTTGGTGCATAATAACTCTCAGAAAAAGAATTATTGATTTAAGAATTTATGAAAATTCTAGGAAGAGGAGTTTGATTCTTTGCCTTGAAGAAGAGGAATGGAGGTAATTGTACTGTACAGAGAATACCAAGATATAAGCAAATATATATATATATATATTTAAATGACCATAAAATATTTGAATTACTTCACTATAGTCCACTGTGTAAACATGAACTTGAATTTGCCTAATTGGAAAAAATAAGAATTTACATTTATTTTTGCAAGAAAATAGAAAATATATATTTGATTTTTTGGTCAATTAATTGTTAACTATTTTCCATATTGTATAGATTCACATCTCTTTGATCAATGGGAGACCAAGTGCTGATGATCCTTCTCCTGAACTGCTGGAGTTTACCTCTGCTCGCTACATCCGCCTAAGATTTCAGAGGATCCGCACCTTGAATGCTGACTTGATGATGTTTGCACACAAAGACCCAAGAGAAATTGACCCTATTGTCACAAGAAGAGTAAGTTATGATGGATCATACTGGAGTTTGTGAATGACACCATGTCCATCCTCTCAATAGTTTGTAAAAGATTTTAAAAAGTTTTAGAAGTGTTATTATCAGAGATTTTGAGATTCAATAAACTTTCCATGGTTCAAATGCAAGCTCTGCCACTTGCTAGGTATGCCACAGCTGGCGAACTGTTTAACTTCCTTAAGCTTTGGTTTCTCGTTTATAAAATGAGTATCATAGTGTCTAGTTCATAATTTTATTTTAGAGTTAAAATTTGTTATTGTGACATTGGGTGATCTGTACAAGTAGTATAGTTGGCCTTGGAGATTTGTTAAAACTCAAAAGTATTGAGACTTTGAAACATTTGAAACATTTTTGGCCACATACCACATTAGGAAATAAGAATTAACATTCTATTTTTTTTATTTTTTATTTATATAAGGTGAATTCATTTTATGTATTTCATATGTACAGATTTTAAGAGTACAGTGATACATCCCACCCCACCTTCCCTCGCGCTCACACTTCTACTCTCCCTCATCCTTCCATTCTTAATTTTTCTTTTAATTTTTACAATAAGATACTTGAAGTTTATTTTATAATCACAAGCTTAACCTTCTGCTAAGTAAAGAATTCAGCAAATACTAAGAAGAAAAAATACTATTCCTCAATAATAGAGACAAAGGCTAAAACAATAATCAAACCTCAAAAAAACTTCCTTTTGCTCATACATTACATTTTTGTACTCTTTCACCACAGATTAGGGAAAACATACGATATTTGTCTTTTTGGGACTGGCTTATTTAACTAACTATAATGTTGTCCAGTTACATCCATTTTGTTGCAAAAGACAGGATTTCATTCTTTTTTACAGCTGAGAAGTACTCCATGGAGTATATATATATATATACACCACATTTTCTGTATCCAGTCATTGGTTGATAGACATCTGGATTAATTCTGTGTCTTAGCTATTGTGTGTGAATTGAGCTTCAATAAACATAGGGATACAGATAACACTTTGATACACTGTTTTCACTTGGATGGCTGGCTTATATAGTAGATCTAGTTTCAGATTTCTGAGGAATCTCCATAATGTCTTTCACGATAGCTGTACTAGTTTATGAAAAACAGTGTATAAGGGTACCTTTCCCCTACATCGTCACCTGCATTTAGTTTTTGTTGATTTCTGTAAGAGAGCCATTCTAATTGGGTAAATTGAAACCTCATTGTGATTTTGATTTGCATTTCCCTAATAGCTGGTTGTCCTGAGCATCTTTACATATGTCTGCCTTTTGAATTTCATCCTTTATTTTTTTATTTATTTTTCATTTAGTAAATATAAATTTTCAAAGTACAGTTAATGGATTACAATGACTCCCCCCCCATAATTTCCCTCCCACTCACACCCCTCCCATCTCCCGCTGCCTCTCCCATTCCATTCACATCAAGATTCATATTCAATTATCTTTATATATAGAAGAGCAATTCAGTATATATTAAAGATTTTATCAGTTTGCACCCACACAGAAACACGAAATGTAAAATACTGTTTCAGTACTAGTTATAGCATTACTTCACATTGGGCAACACACTAAGGACAGATTCCACATGAGAAGTAAGTACACAGTGACTCCTGTTGTTGACTTAACAATTTGACACTCTTGTTTATGGTGTCAGTAATCTCCCTAGGCTCTAGTCATGAGTTGCCAAGGCTATGGAAGCCTTTTGAGTTCGCCGACTTCGATCTTATTCCGACAGGGTCATAGTCAAAGTGGAAATTCTCTCTTCCCTTCAGAGAAAGGTACCTCCTTCTTTGATGGCCCTGTTATTTCCAGTGGGATCTCACTCACTGAGATCTTCCATTTAGGTTGTCGTCGTCGTCGTCGTCGTCGTCGTCGTCTTCTTCTTCTTCTTCTTCTTCTTCTTCTTCTTTTTCTTTTTTTTTTTCAGAGTGTCTTGGCTTTCCATGCCTAAAATACTCTCATGGGCTCTTCAGCCATATCCAAATGCCTTAAGGGCTGATCCTGAGGCCAGAGTGCTACTTAGGACATCTGCCATTTTATGAGTCTACTGTGTATCCCGCTTCCCATGATGGATCGTTCTCTCCCTTTTTGATTCTATCAGCTAGTATTAGCAGACACTAGTCTTGTTTGTGTGATCCCTTTGACTCTTAGATCTATCAGTGTGATCAACTGTGAACTGAAATTGATCACTTGGACTAGTGAGATGGCATTGGTACATGCCACCTTGATGGGATTGTATTGGGATCCCCTGGCATGATTCTAACTCCACCATTTGGGGCAAGTCCGATTGAGCATGTCCCAAATTGTATATCTCTTCCCTCTCTTATTCCCACTCTTATATTTAACAGGGATCACTTTTCAGTTAAAATTTAAACACCTAAGAATAATTGTGTGTTAATCACAGAGTTCAACCAATAGTACTAGAACAAAACAAAGAGAAAATACTAAAATGGATAAAGTATTACATTGTACATCAACAGTCAGGACAAGAGCTGATCAAGTCACTGTTTCTCATAGTGTCCATTTCACTTCAACAGGTTTCCCCTTTGGTGCTCAGTTAGTTGTCACCGATCAGGGAGAACATATGATATTTGTCCCTTTGGGACTGGCTTAATTCACTAAGCATAATGTTTTCCAGATTCCTCCATTTTGTTGCAAATAACCGGATTTTGTTGTTTTTGACTGCTGTATAGTATTCTACGGAGTACATGTCCCATAATTTCTTTATCCAGTCTACTGTTGATGGGCATTTAGGTTGGTTCCAGGTCTTAGCTATTGTGAATTGAGCTGCAATAAACATTAATGTGCAGACAGCTTGTTTGTTTGCCAATTTCATTTCATTTGGGTAAATTCCAAGGAGTGGGATGGCTGGGTTGTATGGTAGGGTTATATTCCGGTTTCTGAGGAATCTCCAGACTGACTTCCATAGTGGCTTGACCAGTTTGCATTCCCACCAACAGTGGGTTAGTGTCCCTTTTTCCCCACATCCTCTCCAGCATCTGTTGTTGGTAGATTTCTGTATGTGAGCCATTCTAACCGGGGTGAGGTGAAACCTCATTGTGGTTTTGATTTGCATTTCCCTGATTGCTAGTGATCTTGAACATTTTTTCATGTGCCTGTTGGCCCTTTGGATTTCCTCTTTTGAAAAATGTCTATTGAGGTCCTTGGCCCATCTCTTAAGTGGGGTTTTTTTTTTATATTGTGGAGTTTCTTGATCTCATTGTAGATTCTGGTTATCAACCCTTTATCTGTTGCATAGTTTGCGGATTTCTTCCTTTAAAAAATGCCTGTTCAAGTCCTTTGCCCGTTTCTTAACTGGGTTGTTTGTTTATTGCTGGTGAATTTCTTGAAATCTTATAGATTCTGGATGTAAATCCTTGATCAGTTTTATAGTTTGGAAATTTTCCTCCCATTATGCCAGTTGCCTCCTCAGCTTGTGAATGTTTCCTTTCCAGTACAGAGCTTCTTAGCTTGATGTAATCCCATTTGTATATTTTTGCTTTTATTGCATGTGCTTCTGGGGTCTTTTCCAAGAAGTCTTTGCTTATGTCAATATCTTGCAGAGTTTCCCCAGCATTCTCTTTAATTTAATGTATCAGGTCATAGATTCAGATCCTTCATTCATTTCAAGTTGATTTTTGTGTAAGATATAAGATAGGGGTTTTGATTTATACTTCTGCATGTGGAGATCCAATTACCCAGCACCATTTGTTGAAGATCTTGTCCTTTCTCCAGGGATTGATTTTAGTTCCCTTGTCAATGATTAGTTGGTTGTAGATGCATGGGTTGTTTTCTGGAGTTTCTGTTCTGTTCCGTTGATCTTCATGTCTGTTTTTCTACCATTACCGGGGTTTTTTGATGTTAACTCCCTGTAGTATGTCTTAAAATCTGGTATTGCTATGCCTGTAGCTTTGTTTTTGTTGTCTAAGATTGTTTTAGCTGTTTGAGGTCTCTTGTGTTTCCATATGAATTTTAGCATCATTTCTTCTCTGTGTGTGAAGAATGTCATTGTTATTTTGTTTGGGATCACATTGAATCTGTAAATTGCATTCAGTTGTATGGATATTTTGATGACACTAATTTTTCCAATCCATAAGCAAGGAAATTTCTTCCATTTTTTGTGTCTTCTATTTCTTTTTTTAATGTTTTGTACTTTTCACCTCTTTGGTTAAATTTATTACTAGGTATTTAAATTTTTTGTAGCTATTGTGAATGGGACTGATCTTAGAAGTTTTTTCTCTGCCATGGCATTGTCTATGTGAAAAAAGGCTATTGATTTTTGTGAGTTACTTTTATATTCTGCAACTTTACCAAGCTTTCTTCTGAGTTCTACTCCTAGTGGAGTCTTTTGGTTTCCCTATGTATAGGATCATGTCATCTGCAAATAGGGCTAATTTGACTTTTGCCTTTCTAATTAGTATTGCTCTATTTTCTTCCTGTTTTTCCCCCCCTTTTTTTTAAAAACATTTATTTGAAAGGTAGAATTAGAGAGAGGAGAGTGAGAGAGAGGATTTAAGATGAGAAATCTGCTGTCATTCTAATTGGAGATCCTCTAAGGGTAATCTGGAGTTTCTTCTTGCACATTTTAGAATCTTTCCTTTATGTTTTACTATTGAAAGTTTGAGTGTACTTGTTGTGGTGAAGATCTTTTCTGGTTATGTCTATAAGGAATTCTATGTGCTTCCTGTATTTGTATGTTCCTTTCTTTCTTCTAATTAAGGAATTTTTCTGTATTATTTAACTGTTTTGTGATTTTCATTTCTTGGTTACATTTATCTTTCTCGCCATGGCATAGTCTATGTGTACAAGACAATGTATAAAACAAAGGCTATTGATTTTATTATTTGACATATTGAATTCTTCATTTCTAACATTACAGTTTAATTTTTCTTCAATATCTTTATCTCATGGGAAATTTTTATCCACATAATATATGGATTTCTTTAACTCATGAACTTCTCATTGCTTTTTGAGTAATCTTATGATCATTCATTTGGATTTCTTTTCAGGAATTTAATCAATCTCTTCATCTTCCCATTCTAAAATTGAAGTGTTATTGTATTCCTTTGGGGGAGTCATATTGTCTTCTTTGTTTTACTTTTCTCATGTTTCTGCTTTTATTGTTAGGCATATGTGGAACCACTGGTTGATTTTCTCCTCTAATGGATTTTACCTTTTCCTTAGGTGCTGGGCAAGACCAGGGAGCTCCTGTCAGTGGTTAGGCATTGTGCCAGATACTTGACTCTCACATTGGGCATGGTAGATCTCTGTTGTCAGCAGTGGGGAAGACACGATCACATTTGTTGTAATTATACCTCAGTTCCAATCTCCCAAGGTGATTAACACCCAGGGCAGGCCACCGTGGCTACACACCCCACTCACGCATTTGTAAGAACCACACAAAGGATCTATGTGGTCCTCAGTGTGAGCACAGACTCCTGTGGAAAGATCCACTCCAGGCACTCAGGGAATTCTGAGCTTCTAAAGCCAGGCACCATGAATTTCCATAGACTTAGCTATACTCCATGCCCTGTCATGTAGTCACAGAATCTCCAGAATCATAGCATGTAGGGCTCCCACTATCATGGGGTACAGGGGATCCACCTATATCCCTCACCACTCCATCCACAGAGAGAGCTGAAATATTCTCAGAGCCAGCTGCCTGTTGGTGTGCTGTCTTGGCAGTTGGAATACAAGCACCTGTGTGGTAGAGAGGATGGAGCACCTTGGGCTTAAATGGGTGCCCCACTCCCTGCCAGCCCTCCAGGCCAGACTCAAAGTCATTGGGAACCACAAATTTATTCCTTAGATAAAATGTCCTACTCACACATGTGTAGACAACAGCAGGCTGTACTTGCCTTTTAACATGGTGCTTCCTCCCTACTAGTCACTGGGAGCCCTTGTTGGGGGTATTGGAGTGATGGAGAGATAAGGAGAGCAAAAATAAAAGATCTTCAATCTGCTAGTTCAGTCCCCAAATGCCTACAAGAGCCAAGGCTGGTGCAAGCCTGAGCCAGGAGCCTGGAAGTCTATTTGAATCTACCATTTGGGTGGAAGGGGCCCGAGTACTTGAGGCATCTTCTGTAACCTCCCTTGGATGGAAACCTGAATCAGATGTGTAGGAGCTGGTACTCAAGCTGACACTCTGAGATGGGTTGTGTTTGTTCCCAGCTGTGGCTTAACCCACTGTACTACAATACCTATCCCTGAAATGGACATTTTATATGACTCTGGATGCATATACACAGACACACACACACACACACACTCTTTAATGTGTGTATCATCAGCTCCTGACCTTGTGGAAAGGTAGATTCTGATATATTCTATCTAGAGCATTACAGAGAATCCATAATGCTGTAACGTTCCCAGGCTATGTCAGTGTTATTTGTCTGTAGGTCATTTTGTCTAACTGTATAGTCTGTTTTTATGCTTCATTAATCACAAGCCATAGTTAAAAAAAGACTACTATGATTCTTCATATTGTTTCCTTTTTATCTTTAGAAATAATGTTAAAAAATAAAAAGGTCAAAGATGGTTTGACCTTTCAGCATGTCTTTGAACACAGGAGCTCATAGAAATACTGTATTCCACTGTTAACTGGGATTGCTGAGATTATGGCATAGGTAATCAACCCAGATTGCTTTGAATAACTGTACTTCCTCCTGTATACCACTCCCTTACATGCTACTGCACAACGAAGACATTGTTACCAAGGGAGTCAATTCAGTCATAAACCCATAACGAAAAGCAACACTAGCAGAGCAACTATTGTGTGAGAAGAGATATAGGTAAGGAAGAGGATTGTGTGGCTAAACTCACCTTGTAGGACAAAGCACTAGTTATAGAGTGATCCCACTAAGGTCAGACCACTGCTACCACTTGCCGAATTGCTGATCCACTGAGCTAAGTGTTCATAGTTCCTGAATATTCTTCACATGCTTTCTCTCCTTGTTATTTAACTTCCTCACACTGAACCTCTCTGCCGTCACAAAATAACTTGAAGTTTTAATTATCCCCATACAACATACGGCAGATGTTTTAGTGCCCTGTATTTTCCAAACTAGAGAAATTTTTACCTTGTCCTAAATTCAACATATTATAAACTGTCACATGCAGAAGTAATCATTATTTTATAGCAGGGTTGAGATTCTTCACTTGTTTTTTAGAAAAATCACTTTTAATTCTAATTTTGGCAAGACTTAAAAATATACACCAAGGAAGACTGAATAATACTGAACTGAAATTTATTCTTTCCTGACAGTACATCTATCAGGGGGGAAAATCAATGAAAATAAATTAGTGTTCCTTTTATCATCTTTTGCAGGAGGCATAGTGGGGTTTGGGGAGTACATCTATTATTTATAACTGCATTGTACAAGAGCCTTTAAAATAGTGCAGTAGAAGTCAATAGATAAATAAGTTTTTGAAAGCACTGAAGTCCAATAAACACTGCATGTAAATTTAAATATATAAAAATAGGATATTGAATTTCAGCTCTTTATGACTTGTAAGCAAAGCATTATACATTTATATTTAAAATAGATTTTCCAGTTTTAAGAGCATCTACAAATACTACTGTATCAGCTTTCTGAGTAAATATCCCTGTTTGTATCTATATTATTAAGTAAAAAAAAAATGAAGGGGGATTTTTATATTATTCAAACTTCCAGCAATTTCTATTGGATCAAGGTCTAGGTTTATCAAATAAGATGTTGTAGCAAAAATATTTTAAAGATATTCTATGTAAATAACATAAACACAAAAGGAAGAAATCAAAAAAGTGGAGAAAAGTGTTGTTTGTAGTCAGGGTACTCAAATTTGTCTTCATCTATGTGTTCTTGCTGAATCTGGTATTTTTTTTTTCATGTGTATAATTAAAATGATAGAACTATCTCATATTGAAAGAATCATTTGGATTTCATGTGAGAACATAAAATTCTCTGCCAATTATAAAATGTCATAAGTTTTTATTAAAATTTTAAAAACATTCCAGTTTTATAATTATAAATAATTTTAAAAGTAGCTGAATAGATGAAAATAATTAGGCATTGAGCCCTAAATGAACTTCAGGTGTGAAGGCAATTGTATGAACATTTTAACATAATAATAAGAAAAAGTGTTCTATACATCCAACTCAGTTGTTATTCCTTATAAGTATGTGCAAGAAGCATGTTATTATTGGCATGATCTCCCCCAAATTTGTTCTTTTTTGCTGAATTCATCAAGTCAAACAGTCTGCATAGGATTCGTGAATTCTTAGGATTCTATTATCACAAGATACTTTGTTACAAGAAACAAAACAACTTCCACAAAGAATTGACCTTATCTCAAGTAAAAAATTCTAAGCAACAGGTTCTCCAGCATGAACTTTGTACTATCTGTGGGAAAGAAATGTCTCATCTGCCCAGCTCACAAACTAGACACATTGTGTTTGGGGCCCTGATGACAATGCTGGGAGTTCCTGTGTCCACTCATTGTGCCTTCTTGTCCTCCAGAAACACAAGTGCTTCAAACTGAGGATAAAAGCGGAAGATAAAGTTTGTAACTGAATGTCTCCTTTCGTTACTTTCACTTGCAGTCCTCCTAACAGGATTTCTCTCTGGATTGCTTTTTGCAGTATTACTACTCGGTCAAGGATATCTCAGTCGGAGGGATGTGCATCTGCTATGGTCATGCCAGGGCTTGTCCACTTGATCCAGCGACAAATGTAGGTATATTTATAGAATGCCTTGGCAAAATGAAGCTCTGAACTGTGAAACGCTTTATGAGAGGCTTTGCTGACCGGGTTTGCTGCGGATGGCTGCCGGGTCCCCTCTTAGTTAGTGCAACACAAAGCTGTGCCAGGGTGAAATAGAGCCGGCGGTTGGGATGATGGACTCTGAAGTCAGCAATCACAGTATCAGAAAACAGATTAGTTTTTTTTTTTTTCCCCAAAAAAGACTCCAAACGGGTCTATCTGTTTTGAAATCTCTCTAGTGATGACAGCTTGCAGTACGATTTAGCCTTCAAGGATGCCTGTCATCAGTCAACCTGGCCATTTCCTTTACAATGCTTAATCAAAAAAAAAAAAAATGCACACAAAGAAAAATGTGAGTGGATGTAAAATTATAAATGACCATGGAACAAGACGTGGAGGTAGGACAAGGGTGACAAAAGTAGCCTAGAAGAGAGAATGAAGAGCATTGAAAGTGCCAGACCAGAAGCTGCTGGCATGTTTTTGGATGCAGTGTTTCACTGAAGACAATGTATTAAGTGAACATACCCTGAAGAGGATGAATGAGCATCGGTTTCCTTTCTTAAAAATTATAATTTAAAATAAAACTCTTTACTGTATATGCAAGAACTCAACTGAATAGTAAAACCAGTGAATGTAGATAGGGCCGTGGGTTTTTCTTTTCCTTCAATAAGTAGCATGACACTCAAAACTAACCGCCTAACTAATAGATTATAGTGTTGTCTCCTAGGAAGACTCAAATACCCTGGGATAGTTTTCTGACTCAAGTGGTGGTGTTGATTTCTGCATGATGTGAGTGCTATCTCTCAGGCATACTTACTGATGGGGCAGTGTTTCTTTTAAAATGTGTTAGAGAAAGAGAGAGAGAAACGCAATAGAGCAAGAGATGATGAGAGTGTGGGCCCAATCCACTGATCCTTCCCCAAATGCTCATAGTACTCAGAAGGCCAATGCCAAAACTTGGAATCCAGTCCAGGTCTCCAACATAAGTAGAAGGGTTTGCATTAGCAGAAGTTGGATTCAGAAGCCAGAGGCGGGTATCAAAGCTAGCCACTCTGATAAGGGATGCAGGCTTAAGTGGGCAGCCAAATGCCTACCTCTGTTAGATTTCTGTTCACCCTGTGCTCATACATAGATTCCTAGGAATTACCTCTATCTTCTTTACCAAGATCAAAAAATGTTACCAGCACTTTGAGGGAAGCCATAAAATAGATACATCTGACCTGAAAATCCTGCAACTCCCAGGCCTCAGAAAAGAGAATTCAGCCTTCAGGACCACTTCTAATGGGCCTCCCTGATTGCTACCAAACAGAAACCCAGGGATTCCAGAACCAGCCCTTACCTCCCTGTGTTGGTACTTACTAATGTACCTGCTCCATTTCTGGCACTGCTTCCTCCCCAGGCTGACAGTTGGTTTGCATTTAATATCTGGACTAGAAGTATCTTCTCTTTTTCATACTACGGTTTCATTCCAAAGAATGCTAACGTGTGCGTTCTCCTCCTTTCTGAATAGAAATCTCGCTGTGAGTGTGAGCATAACACATGTGGTGACAGCTGTGATCAGTGCTGTCCAGGATTCCATCAGAAGCCTTGGAGAGCGGGCACTTTTCTGACGAGAACCGAGTGTGAAGGTAGGTTCTTGAAAAGCCAACAGGTGTGTCCTCCTTTCTGTCCCGGGACTCTGCTAGCATCAACATGGGGTATTTTAGGGAAGTCTAGATTTCTGATTTATGTGTGTTATCCAAGGTAAGGCTGGTGAATTCTTTACCTTGCTTAGTGGCTTGGCATTTAAGGTTTAGTTACTTTATTTTTTAAGAGTAGAAGAGGGTTGTGGGGGGAGGGAAGGAGAGAATGTAAGAGCAAGAGAGAGATAAATCTTCCATCCACTGATTCACTTTCCATATGACAACAACAACAACTGGGGCTGGGCCAGGCTGGAGCCACCTGGTCTTGCGCATGGGTTACAGGGACCCAGGCACTAGAGTCCTATTCCACACCCTTACCAGGTGCATTAGCAGGGAGCTGGATCTGAAGCAGAGCAGCTCAGGTGCAGATCGCCAGTGTGGCAAGTGGCAGCTTAACCCAATGAGTCACAACACCAGCCTCTTTTTGTTTTTTGAATTGGGCACATGTTTACCAAATACCTATGAATTCACCATTGTGTGAGGATTATAAGAATCAGGTAAAGCATGGTGTGCATTTGATGTCCTCAGGGTGAACCTGATGCAATTAGTGTAAAGGAAGTATAGATTAATAGAAATGTAAAAAAATGTTAAAAAAAATACCAGAGACAAGGTTTCTACAAATATATATCTATAAAATGGTTTTGAAACATGTGAATAGCTCCAGCTCCATCTAACTGCTTTCTTTGCAACCCCATGCTCTGCGTTCCTTTCCTAAGAAATAGCCTTTTAATAACCATCATCTAATGAATGGAGAAAAAGCAGAGTGAGAGATTATACCCATTATAGTCAGTTTATTACCTGAAAAAAAAAAACGTGCTAGGACTCATTAGTTACACTTTTAAGAGTGGTGTTTAGGACCATAGCTACAAAGGGCACAAGAGATTGAGAACACAAGATTAAGTTTGTGACAGTGAACATTTATCTTAATAGTAGGTATTGATATTTTAAATATATGGATTCTCATTAATATCAGCAGTAGAAAGCTGCCAGTATTAAAAGTGGCATCAGAAACAATCATGAACATAAACCATCCTATAGCACTTATTGAAGAGTGACCATCAAGAATAAAAGCCAACATTGAAAAACAGCAAAATGACTGATTATGCAATGTGTCAATTTTTATTTATTTATTTATTTATTTATTTTACAGGCAGAGTAGACAGACAGAGAGAAAGCTCTTCCTTTTGCCGTTAGTTCACCCTCCAATGGCCACTGCGGCTGGCGTGCTGCAGCCGGTGCACCGTGCTGATCCGAAGGCAGGAGCCAGGTACTTATCCTGGTCTCCCATGGGGTGCAGGGCCCAAGCACTTGGGTCATCCTCTACTGCACTCCCGGGCCATAGCAGACAGCTGGCCTGGAAGGGGGGCAACCGGGACAGAATCCGGCGCCCCGACCGGGACTAGAACCCGGTGTGCCGGCGCCGCTAGGTGGAGGATTAGCCTATTGAGCCGTGGCGCCGGCCACAATGTGTCAATATTAAACAGCACTCATGTAAGGTTTAATATCACTTTAAAGGCATTCCCACTGTCTCGTTTTTCAGAAGGGAAATGCCTAAGAGGTGTACAGGATGCCCTTCCGCAGATTATTGCCAACTGGGACAGGTGAGGAACATGTCCTTCTGGAAATTTCTCAGGCCCAGTACAGACCTCAGATTTCTGACACACTGTAAATTCAAACTAATATAAAGCCAGTTCAACTGGATTCAAATATTAAAACATTATTTTTATTTTTAAAAATACCATATTTATTTATTTTGAAGGAGTTAGAGGGAGAAACAGAGTGCAAGACCATCCATCCCTTGGTTCAGTTCCCAAATGGCCCTAATGACCAGGACTGACCAGACCAAAGCCAAGAGACAGAAGCTTCATCCATGTCTCTTATGTGGGTGCAAAGGCCCAAGCAGTTGGGCCATGCTCTGATCATGTTCTTTGCCAGGCCAGTAGTAGGTAGCTGCATCAGAAGTGGAGCAGACAAGCTGGCACCGCAGCTCACTAGGCTAATCCTCCTCCTGTGGTGCCGGTACTCCGGGTTCTAGTCCTGTTTGGGGCCTGGTTCTGTCTCGGTTGCTCCTCTTCCAGTCCAGCTCTCCGCTGTGGCCCAGGAGGGCAGTGGAGGATGGCCCAAGTGCTTGGGCCCTGCACCCCATGGGAGACCTGGCTCCTTGCTTCGGATCGGCGCAGTGCACCGGCCGTAGCAGCCATTTAGGGGGTGAACCAACAGAAGGAAGACCTTTCTCTCTGTCTCTCTCTCTCACTGTCTAACTCTGCCTGTCCAAAAAAAAAAAAAAGAAAAAAAGTGGAGCAGACAGGACACGAACCAGTGCCTATATGAAATGTCACATCATGGGCAGAAGCTTAACACTCTACACCACAACACCAGACCCTCAGATAAACATTTTAGAGAATCTTTTCTAAGCACATTTTATTTCAGTTCATGACATTTATATGGGCTCTAAAACAGGCTAGATGTATATATGTTAAACCAATGGCAACCCTATATATTCATTGATAAGCAAAGTAAGATAACATATTTATTATGATAATAATAGGTCTTTAAAGCTATTTCATTATAACATACTTTATTCATAAAACATGGCAAATATGGACAACTACAAAATATATTTTCAGTTTAAGATGCGGCACCTGCTGGCTGTGTCTTCAGGGCTTTCATTTTCTGCACATATATTGTTTGCTGTTTGGTTTGTGATGACCTGCTTGGAAAGACGCTGAGAGATCTCCCTCCAAACTGGAGGTCATTATGCTAAGTGAAATAAACCAGATCCAGAAACACAAATATCACATCTCTTCTTTGTGGAAGTTGGTTTATATATCGAATATAAATCATTACTAGGACCTGTCTGCAGGCAAGGGCCATCTCTGGATTAAGACCCACCACTGCTGGGACCACCAGGGACCCAGCATTTGTTTGCTACAACTACTCCCAGCTCCAATCTAGCTAATCCTTCATATTCTTCACAGCTTCTCCTAAAGGGAGAAACATTTATTCCAAAGCACAATTTGGGATGGCATGCCACCTAAGGATATTTGTCCTCAAATTTCTTTAAATTTTAGTTAAAACACTTTTGCTTGTGGAAAATCAGCAATCACAAGTGGGAACAACATTTGAAGGTGTTACGTCATGCAGTTATAATTACATACTGTTAAGTGGGGATGCAAAATCCTTTAGCACTGTTCACTTGAAAATCTGTGTTTGAACATAAAAGAAGAGCTCTACCTGTTAGCAACAGAAGTATACATGGCAAAGCTTTCTACCTACAATTATATATACTCTACTCTGATCATGAAGCAAGTTTTTCTTTCTTTGTAGCTAAGGGGGCAGGTGATATTCAAAAATTGAAAAAGTGAACATTTAAGGGACACAGAAATTTAAAATTGGATCTTAGCTGTGAAGCCTTAAGCAATGTGATTTTGGTAAGGCATGCATTCCTAAAAGCTTAGATGAAAAAATTTCTAAGTTGAATCATTTTCGGATCACCTTAATATTCAGAAAAATTCTTTAGTGACATAACAAATCCTTCTATAAAGTGGATAATCTCCTTCTAATTCATCTGAGTTTAATTTGGATTTTTATCAGCATGGCTTATTTAAGGCAAGATGTACCTCTGAAGAGCAAAGAACATTCATTCCGCTTCCTAAGCCTTTCTTTAAAGAACAGTTGTACGCCATTGTCTTAGAAATTCTGTGAAACAACAAGTTGCTCATGATGGAACAAAAGATGATTCTTTGTGAGCAGGTGCTGTCCTGTCCTGTGAGGGCACAGCTGCTTGTCTGCATCTCATTGTAGGCACAGGGTTCTGGCGGCAAGGAGCGTCAGAAGGACCGATGCTCGGGCATCCGTGTTTTGCATTAGGTTGTAATTATAGCTACCTCTGGCAACACTAACTCCGAATAGTATAGAAAAAGTTGGCATTACTGTATATTTACTTCCAGTTGTACTGGCAGCAAAAATCTTCAATGTTTCTTGCATGTATTCCTACAATGTGGTTTTTAAAATAATTTGGTTATTGCCCTAACGATGCAAAACTGCTTATATTCCCAAGTGATGTGTGTGTATGTGTCTTACTATGTATTTCCCAGAATAAAGTTTGAAATATGTTTCCTAGAGTAAAGTTGGAAACTCTTCATTAGTATAACAAAAGTACTATATTCTGAGGACAAAGCGAGAAGATTGGGGGAGGTATCTGCAACAACCATGACAAGGAGATGGTACCCTTACTATATTAAGAGATCTCACATGTCAGTAAGCAAAATTCAATAACCTTGTTTAAAAATGAAATCAAAACAGTTATTCTGAGAAAAGAAGTGACTTCTAACCCTATAGAAAGATGATCATGATTAAGGAAGTATCAGTAGAAACAGTGGCATTGTTTTTTTGTTCATATATCAAAACATTCATTCATCCATTCAACAAAAACATGAATGCTTACTAATCCCGGTATGGTATGAAAGGGGTTGAAAATACAAAATGTTGGTGAGACTCTGGGGAACTAGTTTATAGTGTCTGTTGGAAGGAGAGTGATTGACACAGCATTTGTGGAGGGGAACTTTTCAAATTATTAAAACTTAAGTTTTTCCATGTCCTTTGAGTATCAGCCTATAGATGTACCCATGTAGATGTACCTGTCATATTATCATGATTCTTATCATTATACAATAGCTGCTATGATTTATTTATTGGAACTGAATACTTAGTATTCTGCTAAGTGTTTCTACATTCTCAAAATAGCTATCAGAGACAAGTGCTAAAATGACACTAAGACTTGGATTTTCTCCTCAAAGTCACTCAACTGATAAATAGCAAGCAGTGCACCAGCAGAGCCCCCATGCTCGCGCTCCTGGTTGACCTCCCAGCAAGTGTGCAGTGTTATTTGTAAAGGGGAAACCTGGAAGCAATGTAACTGTCCATTAATGGGGACCTGACGAATACCTCCTTTCATGTAGTACCCTGTGTAGCCCTAGGGATTATATATGCTAATAAGGAGAGAACACCACAATTTACTGTTCATAAAATGACACAGTTCAGAACAGCGTGTAAGTTTCCCCCCCGCCACACTTTGCAGAATGAAAGAAAACATAGATGGAGCTATATGCTCTGGTACACCTGCACATGTATAAGAAAATCTATATGAGAGCATGTTAAGAGACTCAACTCGTCTGAGATAAGGAGACTCTGCATAAATATCTTCTTCTGATTCCCATTATAAAATAAATTATAAATTCATAAATTTCAAAGCCTTACCCAGTCCTTTCTGGGGAAAGTGATTTTCACTTTTTTGAATTCGGATAATGTAACATGAAAAAGACAAACGGCAGGAAGAGGAGGAAAACTTGATTGGGAACTTATTTATAAGGTGGTATGTTAATGATTTTATATGCATTATGTGACTTGATGCTTTTAAGTGTCCCTAACTGGTAATTACTATTGCCTATCCATGTTTTATATGGAAACTGAGTTTCGTAAAGTTAATAAGCTCCTCACATTACAAGACTACAAATTAGTGGAGAAAACATTTCTTGGTGAAAAATAGCATTATGTTAGCTACTAAACAAACCAGCTCTTGTTTTGTCCTGATTATTTAGCACCTTTCTTATATCTTACTCTGTTCACAAGGTAGAAGGTGGCAGAGGTTATGTATTCAGATTCGGAGCCTGACTTAGAGTTTGGAGTCCAGTACTAATTAGGTCACCTTTTACCTTACTTTTCATTCCCTTGTGCCCAAGATTATTAAAAGAGATCAGCAATAATATCAGATTCATAAAGGTATTTTGATGATTAAATTCAGTAATTATATCTCAATAGATGCAGAGAAAGCATTTGATAAAATACAACATCCTTTCATGATGAGAACTTTAAGCAAATTGGATACAGAAAAACTTTCCTCAACATAATCAAAACAATTTATGACAAAACCATGGCCAGCATCCTATTGAATGGGGAAAAGCTGGAAGCATTCCCACTAAGGTGGGGAACCAGACAGGGATGCCCACTCTCACCAATAGTATTCAATATAATACTGAAGTTTTAGCCAGAGCCATTAGGCAAGAAAAAAAATCAAGTCAAACTATCCCTATTTGTAGATGACATGGTCCTATATATAGGGAATCCAAAAGACTCCACTAAGAGACTATTGGAACTCATAAAATATGAGTTTGGTAAGGTCACAGGATATAAAATTAACACACAAAAATCAATAGCCTTTATATACACAGACAGTGCCATGGCTGAGAGCTTCTAAGATCAATCCCATTTATAATAGCTGTCAAAAAAACTACCTTGGAGTAAATCCAACCAACAGCATCAAAGATCTCTATGATGAGAGTTATAAAACATTAAAGAAAGAAATAGAAGAAGACATTTAAAAATGGAAAAATCTTCTATGTTCTTGGATTGGAAAAACCAATGATATCAAATTGTCCTTATCATTGAAAGTAGTTTACAGATTCAATGTAATTACAATCAAAATACATATCAGAGACATTATCTCTGATATAGGAAAAACAATGCTGAAATTCTTATGGAAACACAGGAGACTCCATGTATCTAAAGCAATATTGTACAACAAAAACAAAGCCAGAGGTATCACAATACCAGATATCAAGACAAATTACACAGAAGTTATAATCAAAACAGCCTGGTACTGGTACATAAATAGATGTGTGGGCCAATGGAACAGAATAGAAATGCCAGAAATCAACCCACATATCTATAACCAAATTATCTTTGACAAAAGAGCCAAAACCAATCCCTAGAGGAAGGATAGCACAAAATGGTGCTAGGAAAAGTGGGTCTCCACATGCAGAAGTATGAAGTAAGACCCCTACCTTATACCTTACATGATAATCCTCTCAAAATGGATAAAAGACCTAAATCTACAATGCAATACCATCCAATTAATAGAGAACATTGGGGAAACCCTGTAAGACATTGGCACAGGCAAAGAGTTCTTAGAAAAGACCCCAAAGACAAAGGCAATCAAAGCCAAAATGGACATATGGGATTACCTCAAATGGAGAAGCTTCTGCACTGCAAGAGAAACACTCAGAAAAGTGAAGAGGCAACCCACAGAATGGCAGAAATTATTTGCAAGCTATGCAGCTTACAAGGACTATATAAAGAGCTTATGAAACTCAACAACAACAAAAAAAACCCAGTTAAGAAATGGCCAAAATACTTAAATATGCACTTTTCAAAAGAGGAAATCTAAATGGCCAACAGACAAGTGAAAAAATTCTCAGGATCACTAGCCATCATGGGAATGTAAATCATAATCACAATGAGGTTTCATCTCACCCTGTTAGAATGGCTCTCATACAGAAATCAACAAACAATAAATGCTGGCAAGAAAGTAGGGGAAAAGGTACCCTAATCCACTGTTGGTGGGAATGTAAACTCACACAGCCACTATAGAAGATGGTATGGAGATACCTCAGAAATCTGAATATAGATCTACCACATGATCCAGCCATCCTACTCCTGGGAATTTAACAAGGGAAATGAAATCAGCATATGAGAGTTATTTGTACCCCATGTTTATTGCAGCTCAGTTCACAATAGCTAGGATATGGAATCAACCCACTATCAACTGAAGACTAGATAAAGAAATTATGGCATATGTACACCATGGACTACTACTACATGGACTACTACTGGGACTACATTGGGGTAGAAAAAAAAACTGAAATCTTGTCATTTGCAACAAAATGGATGCAATTGGAAAACAGTTTACTTAGTGAAATAATCCAGTCCCAAAATGACAAACAACATATGTTCTCCCTGATCTGTGGTAACTAATAGAGTACCTAAAAGATAAATTACGCAAGTGAAATTGACACTTTGAGATGCAGTGACTTTGAACAGCCATTGTCTTGACTGCTGAGAAACAGCTCTTTTTTTCATACTTTTTGTTGAACTTCTTACTTGGTATAGGGTTATTCTTAAAGGTATAAAGTTAATTGAAAATAGATCTTAGTAAGATAAGAATGGGAATAGGAGAGGGAGGAGGAGGAAGGGTGGGAGTTTGGGTGCCAGGATGGGTGCTGGGAAGAATCACTAAGTTCCTGAATTTGTATTTATGAAATGCATGAAGTATCTATACTTTAAATAAAAGGTTTCTGGGAAAAAAACAGTAATCATAAATTAACACTTAGAACAGAGTCTGGCATAGGAAAACAAATCTAAGTTTTAATTGATGTTATTAGTAAAAGGACTTACATGCTACATGTTCTTTTTAAACCATTGGTACTTAGACTGAGATTTGCATATGGTAATTAGTTACTACTGATTCCTAGTTGTTAATCATACAGTGTTATAATGCAATAGCATAATAAAATAATATGTATAATCTATAATAGTGCAAATAAAAATATTTATCTTGATATTAAAATATAGGCTGGACCCTATAAAATTGCACCTTTATAGATCCAAATGAGTTAAACGTTAGGAATTTCATATGATTTAGCTTAATTTATATATTTTAATTCTTCCAAGTGTGATATACATGTGTGACTCTTTAATCCATCCAATATGTACAGATATTTTTCTGATAACTCTGTGCATGTGTATGCATAACAACACATTATTCTTTTTTTACTTATGTATATTTGAAAGAATGAGACAGATCTCCCTAGTGAACCACTAGTTCACACCCTCAAAATGCTGAAACAGAACCAAGGTAAATCTGGGGACCAGGAACTCAACCTGGGCCTCGCTTATGGATGACAGGTAGCAAATCACCTGAGCCATTACCTGCTTTTTGCCTTCCCAGCATCACAGCACCAGGAACCTGGAATTGGGATTAGGGCCAGGAACCAAGCCCATGGTACCTGGGCATCTCAATGTCATCTTAACCCTGTGCCAAACCCTGACCCAAGAAAATCACTTTAAGTGCATCTGAAGCCTGAGACTAATGATTGCTAATTATTATTCCCTAAACATAGCATGCAATTGCCATGGAAAAGCTGAGGAATGCTATTATGATGAAGAAGTTGCCAGAAGAAACCTGAGTTTAAATATACATGGAAAGTACATTGGAGGGGGTGTGTGCATTAATTGTACCCAAAACACTGCTGGTATAAATTGTGAAACCTGTGTTGACGGCTTCTTCAGACCTAAAGGGGTAAAGTATGCCTTTTCTTTCATTAAGTGTTATTTTTACTTTTTTTGTACAAAAATGGATTATACATCAATGTAATTTTGATAGCTCCTTGAAAAGTTTGGACTTCAAAAAGGGGACTAGGAATGTTTCTTATTAATATAAATCTCTGAGGATGTAAAACTAAATATTTCTTTCACTTCAGAAAGCTCTGTTGTCCGGCACTGCACCTAACTTGGCTAATCCTCCGCCTGCGGTGCCGGTACCCCGGGTTTTAGTCCCGGTTGGGGCACTGGATTCTGTCCTGGTTGCTCCTCTTCCAGTCCAGCTCTCTGCTGTGGCCCAGGAAGGTAGTGGATGATGGCCCAAGTGCTTGGGCCCTGCACCCGCATGGGAGATCAGGAGGAAGCACTTAGCTCCTGGCTTGGCTTCGGATCAGCGCAGTGCCGGCCATGGTAGACATTTGGGGGGGTGAACCAACAGAAGGAAGACCTTTCTGTCTGTGTGTCTCTCACTGTCTAACTCTGCCTATCAAAAAAAAAAAAAAAGGGGGAAAGAAAAAAAAAAAGCTCTGTGTGCCACATTTCATTCAGTCCCCATCCCAAGTAAACAGTATTCTCATTTTTAAAGTATAATTTAATTTTGCATTTTGGGAAACCTCAAAAATGTAAGTAAGCAATACAGAGTAATTTGTGTCTTCACTTTTTTTTACCATAACATTTTAAGATTTACCCATGTTGTGTGCATCAGGGTTTGTTTTAAACTGATTGGAAGTATTCCTCTATATGAACATATAAAAAATGTTAATACATTCTCCTGTTGACAGATATTTGGGTCATTTCTAGTTTTGGCTACTTCCTACAAACAATTTTATAAAAGTCTTTTTGTGGTGATTTAAAAAAAGAATAAATACCTAGAATGATTCACAAATAGATATGTGCCAACATTTGACATGATAGGTAACTGATAACATTTGACTAATTAGTAGTAACTCTTTACATAGTCACTATTTGTTCTGTTTTATCTCTAGTATTTGATACTATCTTTTAGAATTGTATTCTAATGAGTGAGAAATGGTATATCATGATGGATTTAATTTGCAGTTCAAGTGCTTATTGTACCCTCCGAAATCTTCTCTTGTAAAGTGTCTGATTCAAAATGTAAGTCTTGTTTTATTTTATAAACTTCATCTTTTTAATTTTTAGGGCTGTGGACAATCTCAAGTAAATATTTTTGTGTGTATGTGGTGTGAAGTATTGTTTGGTAGCCTGATGTTACCAAAGCCTTTTGTTGAGAATTTTTTGTTCCTATAAAGTGAACAGTTTCTGGAGCCTCTGGTTCCTGGACGTATTTGTCCATCCTTTTGCTAATTCTACACCAACTTGATTTGGTTTTCTTAAATCTAGAATTCAGGTAATATAAGTGTAGCAACTTTATACTTCCTTTGGAAGACTGTTTTGCCTATAAAAGTTTCTTTGCATTTCCACATAATTTTAGTGTCAGGATCTCCCCGCTTTGGGAACTGGCCGGGTTACCACGAAGGAAGAGTCGAGGAGACTGAGGAAGGTCAAGCTAAACACATTTTATTGAAACTCTAGGCGACTAGGAGAGATCGCACAAGCCTACTCCTGCAGGCACTAGGCACTAGGGACCAGGGAAAGAGGCTGAGCAACCTCTGGTTTACAGCGTCTGAGGGTCCCCTTATATACAGTTTCTAGAGGCTAGCCCTGCCCACATTCCGACCTCCCAGGGTCCCATAGTCATGGCAATGACAGTTTGTGGTTAGGCCCTCTAGTTAGGCCGCCCTTTTCAAATCTTACCAGCTAGGGTGGTTGCCTTTCTACTTTTCTTTCAAGCTGTGCTACTGCGCACTTACTTTCTTTAAAATGGTGCTACAGTTACTTTGTTTCAAAGGGCACTACAGTTACTTTCTCCATGAATGGTTCCCTAACATTTAGAATCCTGTTGTTTGGAATCTATATACAAATATAGAGGTAACTGATATCATCATAATGTGTCATTTAAACAATGAACATACTTCTTTACTTGTATGTTCTTTAATTACTAATAGCAGTGTTTTCAGTGTAGTGTCTTGTTTTCATTAAGTTTAATCTTAGGCAATTGGTATTATTGTAAAACATTGCTTTCTAAAAATACCTTTCCAGTTTTTGGAAGCCATTAATTTTGAATATTTTTGCTCTCAATCCATTTAAATTTCATGTATTGGTTCTACTAGGTTTAAACTAGATTCTTTAGATGTATACACATAAATAATCATGTTGCTTGAATATAAACTGAGGCTTTGCCCATTGCAATATTTGTGCCAATATTAAGTGAAACTGGTGAAAGCTGACAATTTTACTTCATTCTCAATCTCAGAGGCAAACATAGTATCTCACCATGAAGTGTGATGGAAGCTGTAGTTTTCTTTTATGAAAGCTCCTAGTCAGATTCAGCAAGTTTCCTACTATTGCTAGGTTGCTGAGAGTTTTTATAACAAAGGATTATTGAATTTGGCCAAATGCTTTTCTAAATCCACCAAAGTAGACATAAAGATTTGCTCCTTTATTCTGTTAATGGGGTCAGTTTGCCCTGATAAATTACTTTTAAAATTAAACCAGCTTTACATTTGTGGTTTAAACTTCACTTGCATGTAAAAACAGGATCACTTTTTATTGGATGATTTGATTTCCTTAGAAGTATTTGCATCTTCTCATAAGGGATATATATCTATCAGAATTTTGTGTTGGAGTATATTGATCTCAAAAATGAGTTGTGAAATGTTTCCTACTCCTCTGTTTTCTAAGATAATTTGCAAATGATTGGAATTAATTCTTTTAAAAATGTTTGATACATAGAATTCTCCTGTGGTCTATATATGGTTTATATAGGCCTCTAGTTTTCCTTGTGAAAAAAAAAAAACTTTGTTATGATTTTGAGTTTTTAATAGATATAGGGCTAGATAAATTACATTTTTTCATGAGTCAATTCTGATACATTATAATTGTCAGTATTTCATTTTATCTAGTCAAATTATATCCATTAAATATTGAAAAATATATCCTTATTCTTTTGATTTTATTTTAAAATGTTAATATTAATTTTAAAATTGAAAGACATGCATATAGACAAACAGAGCCCGTATCCACTTGTTTACTGCCCAAATGTCCACAACAGCTGAGGCTGGGCCAGGCCAAAGCCAGGAAGGAGATAGTACTCTGGGACTCCCACGTTGTTGCAGGAACTCATTTACTTGAGCCATCAATACTGCCTCCTAGGGTTCACATTAGCTCGAAGTTGAAGTCAGGAGCCAGACCCAGGAATTGAACACAGGTACTTGATTTGGGTCAGTATAAACCACTTAGTTTTAACCACAAAGCTAAACACTTGCTCCCATTTATTATACTTTTAAGACTGATAGCAAGGGTAAGGGATCTTTTTTCTGCCAAGAACCATCTGGATATTTGTAAAGTTATTTGCAGGATATGCAAAATTATCAGCTTAAAAATTAGCCTGCTATAGATTTATTGAATTTCAAATCCCACCTGCTGTTGTCTTGTTGCCCTTGTTGCCAGCCAGATGATTTTGTGGCCTTATATGGCTCAAGGACTAGATGTTCCCTCCCCCACCCAGGCTGTAGTATCTGTACTGATATCACCTGTGTAATTCATAAAATTGATCAAGCCTTTGCCTTTTTGTGTCTATTGTTTTACATTTTTATTATGTTACGTCTTTGATCTGTTTTCCTTTTGAATTTCTTTTGTTACCCATCATTTTTGAAACTGTATTATAACTCTTTCTCCTTTAATAACATAAGCATTTAAATATACATTTTATTCTAGGAAGTCCTTTAACTGCTTCCCATACATTCAGAAATGCTTTATCCTGTATTTAAACAATTTCTATTTTCTCATAAGAGTACTTTGTCATTTAATTTTCAGATTTGGGCTTCATTGAGTATCATGTTTTCAGTAAGTTCCACAGTGAATGTCTTACGGTCAGAGAACATACTAAAATGACAGCGAGCTTTACAAGTTTATGAGACTGATTTTAAAGCTCAGGGCATGTTTTCACTTGGTAAACCAACATGTGCTCTAGAGAAGATCTTTCCTGAGTTGCTAATTGATATAAATATGAGTTGCTACAGTCTGTTATTGTGCATTAGCGTTACTGAACATGCCAAGTACATAGGTCGTGATGTTGCCAAATAACCAGCATCAAGCCTGAGCCACTCAGAGGAAAGCTTTTGTTTACTTGGGACAAGTAAAAGAAGACAGTGGGGGAAAAAAAAAATCCTGGAAAGAAACTGCCTCCCTGAGAAGCAGTTTGCTAGGACTTTGTCACAAGGGTTAGGGGAGTGTCCAAGATATGGAAAAGGGGCAGGAGGTGGTGCCTCCTGCTCCTACAATGTAATCTGCATACATCAATCTCACACTGTGTGTTCAAAATTTGCTGGCAGTCTCCTCTCCTGCTGAAAATTTGGCATTATAATGAGGAAAGTTCAGCTTAGGTCATGAAGATCTGACTCAAGCTGGTTTCTGGCAGTTGAAGCCATTCCTAATCTGTGGTGGTCCCACTGCCTCTGAGTATAAAGTTCCTCAATATGCTTTTCTGGAACATTCTGTGAAAGACATGCACCAGTGCTTACAGCTGTTTCAGATGTGCTTCCCCTATTCTAGTGCTCCCTTTAGGACTAAATCCTGCACTCTTGGTTATAATTCCTCCCATTTATGTTGTCAGTATTTCTTCATGTACCTTGAAGCACTGGTTTTAGGTACATATACATTTAGAGTTTTTAACGTTTTTATATTTTTATACGGTTAAACACTATTAGTTACAAGAGTGACAGGGAGAGAAAAATGAAGATCTTCCATCTGCTGGTTCTCTCCCAAATTGCCTGCAACAGCTAGGGCTAGGACAGGCCAAAGCTAAGAACCCAATTTTCATCTATGTCTCCAAAGCAGGTGTCAAGAACTGAAATACTGAAATACATCATCTGCTGCCTCCCAGACAGATGATAAAGGAGCTGGATTGGAACAGTGGAGTAACCAGGACATGAATCGGGCACTTGGATATGGGACGTAGATGTCCCACATGGTGACTTAGCCCGCTGCAGCACAGTCCATTTTTGTATCTGATATTCTGACATATGAATAATTATGAAGATCTCTGAATCTCAGATAAATCTCTTTGTCATACACCTACTTTATATTCCATTAATAGGGCTATTCCAGCTATTTTATTCCTATACTGCATGGCATATTCCTCTGAATTTTTAGTTTCAATTTTGCTGTTCATTTAGAAGCATGTCTTATGCAAAGTAAAATGAGTATTGCTTCTTTATGCTGACAGTGTCTTTTTACATGCGGGTTTAATATAATCTAAAAGGTCACTGCCTATGCCAATGACTTGCAGTATTTCCCCTATGTTTTCCTCTCATAGTTTCAGGTCTTAAATTTAAATCCTCAATTGTATTTTGAGTTAGTTTTTGTATAGGGGACCTTGTTTCAAACTTGTGTTTATGAAAATTCAGTTTTCCCAACACTATTTGCTGAAGAGGCTGTCCTTTTCAAGGGAATATTTTAGCAGTTTTTCAAAGATAAATTTGTTCTAGATGCAGCATTTATTTCCTGGATTTCTATTTTGTTCCATCGATCCATGTATCTATTATTATACCAGTACCGTGCTGTTGGGGTGACAACAGTCCTTTAGTACATCCTGTGATGTAGTATTGCGATGCCTCTAGCTTTTGTTTCTATTGTTTAACATTGCTTTGGACACTCAAGATATTTTGTTTTTCCATATGAATATTAGGATTTTTTTCTAATTTTGTGAAGAACTTGATTCTTTTTTTTAATAATATGCCTACAGGGGGGCTACAGTGGTGTTTTATTGTTTGCTTTTTGTTTGCTGGCTTAGTAATGGCTCTGGATAGACAGTACATTCTCCAAGTCCACTTAAATTGCCACTCATATGTCAAGCCCCAGTTTAAATGTCACCTTTTCCATGAGACATTGCTTGACTTCATTATGTTGTTTTATGACTTTCTCTTCTTTTGCCCTGTAACACTCTGTGTGCCTTGTATCATTTAGCATCTTCTTTTTGATAAATGTCTTTCAAAACTGGTATATCTGTAACCTGTCTGCTATGCCAAGTTCTTCCTTAATCAAATTATTTTGAGACTAATATATGAACTTGCTTGATTTCCAATAAGATACACAAATACATCTAGTTTTAACTAGATAGTTTAAACATTAATAAACCAGTTTCCATTTATAAGTTAAATCTAAATCTATGCATTTATGAAAGCTATGTTTTATAGGGGTAGATATATATATATTTATATGTGTACATATTCTATAATCTCTTATTTCTTGGGTAAATAATTTAGTTTTTCTTTCATGTTCAGTCTGAAAATGAATGAATTGTGTATATAGTAAATTGGATCAGTCTATCATTGTTTTTTTTTTTTAACTTTTATTTAATGAATATAATTTTCAAAGTACAGCTTATGGATTACAATGGCTTCCCCCCCCCCCAAAACTTCCCTCTCAACCCCTGCTCTCTCTCCCCTTCCATTCACATCAAGATTCATTTTCAATTCTCTTTATATGCAGATCAGTTTAGTATTTCCATGCCTGAAATACTCTCATGGGCTTTTCAGCCATATCCGAATGCCTAAAGGGCTGATTCTGAGTCCAGAGTGCTGTTTAGGACATCTGCCATTCTATGAGTCTGCTGTGTATCCCACTTCCCATGTTGGATTGTTCTCTCCCTTTTTGATTCTATCAGTTAGTATTAGCAGACACTAGTCTTGTTTATGTGATCCCTTTGACTCTTAGACCTATCATTATGATCAATTGTGAACAGAAATTGGTCACTTGGACTAGTGAGATGGCATTGGTACATGTCACCTTGATGGGATTGAATTGGAATCCCCTGGCATGTTTCTAACTCTACCATTTGGGGCAAGTCCAATTGAGCATGTCCCAATTTGTGCATCTCTTCCCTCTCTTATTCCCACTCTTATATTTAACAGAGATCACTTTTCATTTAAGTTTCAACACTTAAGAATAATTGTGTATAATTATAGAATTCAACCAATAGTATTAAGTACAACAAACAGAAAAAAATACTAAAAGGGATAAGGTATTAAGTTGTTCATCAACAGTCAGGGCAAGGTCTGATCAAGTCACTGTTTCTCATAGTGTCCATTTCACTTCAACAGGTTTCCTTTTTGATGCTCAGTTAGTTGTCACCAATCAGGGAGAACATATGATATTTGTCTCTGTGGGACTGGCTTATTTCACTCAGCATGATGTTTTCCAGATTCCTCCATTTTGTTGCAAATGACCCGATTTTATTTTATTTTTTTTTTACTGCTGTATAGTATTCTATAGAGTACATGTCCCATAATTTCTTTATCCAGTCTACTGTTGATGGGCATTTGGGTTGATTCCAGGTCTTAGCTATTGTGAATTGAGCTGCAATAAACATTAATGTGCAGACAGCTTTTTTGTTTGCCAATTTAAATTCCTTTGGGTAAATTCCAAGGAGTGGGATGGCTGGGTTGAATGGCAGAGTTATATTCAGGTTTCTGAGGAATCTCCAGACTGACTTCCATAGTGGCTTAACCAGTTTGCATTCCCACCAACAGTGGGTTAGTGTCCCTTTTTCCCCACATCCTCTCCAGCATCTGTTGTTGGTAGATTTCTGTATGTGAGCCATTCTAACCGGGGTGAGGTGAAACCTCATTGTGGTTTTGATTTGCATTTCCCTGATTGCTAGTGACCTTGAACATTTTTTCATGTGCCTGTTGGCCCTTTGGATTTCCTCTTTTGAAAAATGTCTATTGAGGTCCTTGGCCCATCTCTTAAGTGAGTTGTTTGTTTTGAAGTTGTGGAGTTTCTTGATTTCTTTGTAGATTCTGGTTATTAACCCTTTATCTATTGCATAGTTTGCAAATATTTTTGCCCATTCTGTTGGTTGCCTCTTCATTTTCCTGACTGTTTCTTTTGCAGTACAGAATTTCTCAATTTGATGCAATCCCAATAGTTAATTTTGGCTTTGACTGCCTGTGCCTCTGGGGTCTTTTCCAAGAAGTCTTTGCCTGTGCCTATATTTTGCAGGGTTTCTCCAATATTCTCTAATAATTTGATGGTGTTGGGTTGTAGATTTAGGTCTTTAATCCATGTTGGGTGGATTTTTGTGTAAGGTGTAAGGTAGGGGTCTTGCTTCATGCTTCTGCACGTGGAAATTCAATTTTCCCAGCACCATTTATTGAATAGACTATCATTGTTTAATGTATTTTTTTTTTTGACAAGCAGAGTTAGATAGTGAGAGAGAGAGAGAAAGGTCTTCCTTTTTCCGTTGGTTCACCCCCTAAGTGGCCTCTAGGACCAGTGCGTTGCGGCTGGTGCACTGCGCCAATCCAAAGCCAGGAGACAGGCGCTTCCTCCTGGTGTCCCATGTGGGTGCAGGGCCCAAGCACTTGGGCCATCCTCCACTGCACTCCTGGGCCACAGCAAAGAGCTGGACTGGAAGAGGAGCAACCGGGACAGAATCCGGCACCCCAACCAGGATTAGAACCTGGGGTACCGGCGCCACAGGCAGAGGATTAGCCTAGTAAGCCATGGCGCCGGCCTGTTTAATGTATTCTAACAGTATCAACTCTTGGTTATAGGCTGAAGGCACAGACCCATTAAGTGACCACATTAGGTTGTGAGCTCAAGTTTTTCTAAAATGGAGTCCACATAATTACTTCCCAGCATATCCTGCCTCTCAGAAAATCAAATATTCTTTTAAATATTATATAATTGATTTTTGCAAATGCTACCTACAGATGTATTTAATAAATCATACCAAGGTCAAGTGAAAACTTTCCTGGAAAATTTTGGAGGGATTTTTTTTTTTCATTGCTAATTTCAAACTACATTGCAAAGCCAGAGATAAACTACCTTGTAAAGCAAACTACAAGAAGAAAGCAGTCAGGAAAATTTTATTAGGGACAACAAGAAAATACTATTTATTTATGTATATTTGTTATAAAAGTGATACTATGGCTATAAGAGCTACAGCCTAAAATGTATAATAATTGAAGGCTGGGATTTTGTTTTTAAAATTAGGCAAAATACATGAAACTTTCTTGAATGATCTTGAAAACTACTAAATCTAACTAATATATAGAAATTTACTGTGCTGTGCTCTTTGGGCATCTGTTTAGAATGATTGGATTTTAAACAAATGCAACTGTCTTAGAATAATTTCTTATAACTCTCTAATTATCATTATATGTTTTTAAAACTAATTTATTCTTAAATGTTTGCTGGCCTGAAAAACATTGATATTTTTATTGTACTTGATTAAGATTATTTTAATATTTTTAGGTGTCTCCCAAATATCCAAGACCATGCCAGCCATGCCACTGTGATCCAGTTGGTTCCTTAAATGAAGTCTGTGTCAAGGATGAGAAACACGCGCGACGAGGTGAGAGCTACAGCAGAGAGCCACTGTGCTGACCAAAGGACAAGCAGAAGCCAGTGATGGTGTAGTGAATACCATTTAGATAGTAGATCTCTACTCATGTTTCCTCCAGAAAGCAGCCTGTATTAATCAAGTAATTAATTTAGTTATAATTGGTTTGAATGATTTAAAAGCAAGAGGAGATTAATCATTTGTTTTGATTGGTGTAGGTATACATATGTTTATATGTGTGTATAAACAAATATATATATATATGTGTGTGTGTGTGTATGCATTTATATATATACACACACCCAGAGAGAGAGAATCAAAATCTTATGTGTTTGATTTTTATAAACCTTGTTATTTATTAGGTAGTTTTGTAAATTGTATGAGTTCTAGAGTGAAGTGTCAGCATTCATTGAAAGGTAAGGGTTGGGTGTGTTGCGCTGGGGAGGCAGATTACGTACTGAGTGTAGTCATGAGCTGATTAAGGGGAGAAAAGCTGACATTAATTTAAGCCAAACACTTTTCATAAATAAAATTTAGTGATAAACTTCAAACCTTAAAGAATCATTTGGTAATTTAACTCATAAATATAAAATATCTCCCCCTCTCTGCTTCCCTCCTTCTCTACCTACCCACCCATCCACCCATCCATCTATCCATCCATCCATAAATCCTATATTATTCAGTATCTTCATATTCTGAACAGCATAGGGTCTCTGAGTACCTAGTCCACAACATTTCCAGAAACAAAACTTGACCTCAAAACCTTATGACATAGAACAACTCTATGTTTTACCTCAGTTTCTGGAAGTGTTAACTTCAGAAGTAAATGTGGAGAATTTTTGCTTATTTTTTTTTAAGATTTATTTATTTGAAGGGCAAAGTTACAGAGAGAAGGAGAAACAGAGAGCCTTCCATGTACTGGTCACGACAGCTGAGGCTGGGCCAGACATAAGGCAGGAGCCTGGAACTCCATCAGGTACCCAAGCACTTGAACCATGTTCTGCTTTCCTAGGAGAATCAGTAGGGAGATGGATGGGAAGTGCAGCAGTAGGAACTTAAACTGGCAGTCATAGAGGATGCTAACATCATAGGCATTGCCTTAACTCACTGCGCCACAGTATTGGCCCCAGAAATAATTTTTAATGCTTTCATAACCTTTGCTAAAATTATCAGGTTTTTCCCCCATTTGATCTATGGATGCAATATGTTAAAAAATGAACTTATTAATATTAGCCAAAATTTGTATAACCAGAAGAAATTCTTTTTGGCTATTATGGGTGGTCTTTTTATTATACTCTAGGATTCCATTTGGTTTTTATTTTATTTATGATTTTCTCATCCAAATTCCTAAGTTAAACTGCCTGTGGCTCTGACAGCTGTCAGTTATGCTACTTTGGCAAGTCATTTCATTTCAGTGAGCCTTAGTGTTTTCAACTCTAAAATGAGAAAAATAATACTGTCAGACTCACATTGAAGTTTTCAGTGCTGGCTCTATTAACCCATATGTAGTGGATAATGCTAAGTACGAATTTTGAAATCCATGCACAATTTTCCTGTAATTTGGATCGTCTGTGAAATAAAAAAACTTATTTATTTGAGAAGAAGACAGATGTGCCATCTGCTGGTTCACTTCTCAACTGTCCACAACAGCTTAGACTGAGTCTGGCCGAATCTGGGAACCTGCAACTTTGGCCTTGATCTCCCAAGTTTTTGGGAGGAACTTGAGTCATCACTGCTGCCCCCTAAGGTCTGAAAGAGCAGAAAGCTGGAGTCAGGAATCCAGCCCCGTCCATTAACTACATGAAGATCCCACATATATATGATTTTTAAAAGCGATTTGTACCAAAAATAAACTGACCTTTTAATTTCATTTTCGTTTGTTCACATTCATGTTCATTTGTTTGAAGTGATTTTCATAATAAATGGCACAAAGCCAATTTAAGTGTTAATAACATGCTTATTTTGAATTCTCTTTGTTGGATTTTTATATCAAGTTTTATAATTGACATAACAAACTGAATCACAAAACCCTATATTTTTCTGTGACTCCTAAGAGTTTAAAACTTTGAAAATGATTTGTCAAAATTAACTGCTTTTAAAACATTTTCTTGCTCATTTTTTGACAGTTTGTCCTGTTTTTTGGTATCCTTGACCAAATTTGTTTATAGTTTCCTTGTTCTTGCCTGTCTTTTAAATTTTTCAGATCTCTTGTTTTTTCTGCAGTGTTCATTTTGTTCCTCTTTTCTACAATTACTGTGTTAAATTTTAATTTTTTTAAATAATGGAGCTGCTTAAACCTGTAAGTTGACTTTTGGCTACAGTTTTTCCATATCCAGTAAACATTGTCAAGTTCCTTTCTCACTAACACTAAAATCTACTTAGGAAACTAATTTTCAATGTGAAGTTTTGATTTTCTCTTTATCCCAAGGTATTAAGAAGAGATATTAACTTATTAAGTTTTAGAGAACTTAATTTTTTATAAATCTATCATCATATTCAATTTCATAATTAACTTAATCCTGATTCATTGTGGCATTTGATATAAATCTTGAAGGAGTAATTTATGTTAAGAAATTCAGCCTCGATCATTTTTACACTGATAAATTGAATGTTTTTGCAAATTAGCCATTGATAAGCTTTGGTGAATATTTATAGCTATATATTATATGTGATTCACTTTATTCAGTTATTAAAATTTTATGCTTTTTCCTAATTCATTTGTAAATACTTAAAGTGAAAAGGTTAATTTCATTCTCAACCATTGAGTTTTGAATAATTATTCTTTGATTCCCAGTAATAGTTTGTCTTCTATGTATTTTTGAACTTCACAATTTGTGCTTATTTAAGGCATAAATATAATAATTTGAGCCTATTTTTATTGCAACCTAATAAATGTGAAATGAGAGATTGTCCTATTAAATCTACTACCTTGGCCCTAATTGACATTGTGTTTCTGTATATATGTGTGTGTTTGTGTGTGTGTGTGTGTGTGTGTTTCTTCATGCCTTCCTAATGTATGAATTTTTTGTTTATTTTTAATATGTCTGGTCATTGTGTATGACTTTTTTGCACATGGCATGTATGTGTTGAATAGTAGCAATAAGACCATGGATGTCATTTAGATATATTTAGTTGGTAAGTTTGGCACTGTTTCTGACACTGTTTTCTGCTTTCTCATCATCGTGATTCTTTCTTTTTTTCTCTTTTATTTTGAAAGACTATATTTTTATTGATTTGCTCTTACTTTTTTCCAGATTTTGAAGATCTATAACTTGTACTCATTTGTTCTTCCTCTGTGTATTTATCTTTAAAAAACCACATGAACAGAAATAGTCTTTACTCATAAAGTAAAAGAAATTTAAACTACGTTCATCTCCCTCCTGTGCCTTTTTATCCCCAAAGTATCCATCCTCATGAACACCCTTAGCTGTTTCTTTAGTAATATTGCCAGGGACACCCTTAGATTATCGCTGTTAAACTGTTGTTTTAAATAATAAGTCTTTAGCACGACGTTTTTTTCCATCTGTGATGGGCCAGGCAGTCTGGCTTGTATAAGAACCATCAGGTACACACAGAAGACTGCTTATTCTTCTCAATGCAGAGTTTGTAGACAGGACTCTTTGATCTTTCTTATACTTTTTTTGCAGCAATAGTTTTGATAGATGCTTTTTGATTTAGTCTTTGTATTTTTAATTCTTAATGTTCTTAATGATACTTAGAAGATGCTATGTTGGCATTATCATAGCAAGCTTCTCATTGAGCCCTATACCCTTTGTTTTTAATTTCTCATCAAGATAAATCTTTCAAAGCTACTATAATTAAAACCTTAAGAACAACATGACATATCTATTTTTAAAATGTTGATATGTGGCTCCTGTTCCTTTAGGTCTGGCTCCTGGATCCTGTCATTGCAAAACTGGCTTCGGAGGTGTGAGCTGTGATCGGTGTGCCAGGGGCTACACTGGTTATCCGGACTGCAAATCCTGTAACTGCAGTGGCTCAGGGAGTACAAATGAGGACCCCTGTTTCGGACCCTGTAACTGCAAGGTGCATTATTTACTGTAGTAATAGCCAGTTACAAAGTGATTTTCTCTGACTTCCCTGTCCTGGCTCCTGACATTAAGCCATGGTAACAACTTCTGTAGATTTCCCATTGTCTATTTTGTGTAAAGTACTTCTGTTAAGCATCCTTAAATGTGTATCAGGTTCACTGCAGCCATACCTTTGTAAGTATCTAAAAACCTAGAAATCCACAAAGTCTGTACCATTTCATAACAAAAATACCACTACCATTGCCCATCATATATGGTACTTTAAAAGTAGCAGCCCTTTAAAAGTAAATAACACTTCCATCTATAGCTTTGTATTTAACTCTGGGAATAATTCTGTTAAAGATTTCATTCTGAATTTTTAGATACTGTCCTGAAGTTTGAATTGAAATAAACCAAAAATTATTCACTATAGTTCAACTCTTTAGCTGAATTACCAAAACTGAAGAAGCCCTAGCGAAATTGATTAAAGACTCAGTATTTGATCCCAAGAGTACTTTTAGAAATCAAGCTTTATTTGCTGTACATAACCAACTAATAGCTCATCATGTTAACACCAAAGGATGCATTACACCTGCAGTTTATACATGCAGAGGAAACAGAGGCATATACAAGTCAGATGAGCAGGCTGGCATACTTGAGTGATAATTTCCTCATCAGATGGTGTATAACCACAATAGCTGAGAAAATGAAAAATTCTTGGAAAAATTGCCTTCTATACTGTTGTGTAAATGAAAGTTACTTCTTTATGCTTTTGTTTCCAATTACAGAGGGAAACTGGCTACATTTTTTTTCTTTCCTGATTTATTAGTCTTTTCTAGATATATATATAATGTTATATATTTAGTTCATACCTGTGTGGACATAAAAGTGTGTATACAAACATTAAGCCATAACATAAGTAGAAAGTATCAATTTAAAGGTTAGGTGTGTATGTTTTGGAACAAGAATATCTGAAATAAAAAACAGCTAAATATCATAATAGTTACATAATAGAAAAACCAGGGCAAATTAGATACCACCCTTGGATACCCATGGCAATAAAATTCCTATCTACTGAAGTAAATAGAAAGTCCAAAAGTCTCATGGTAAAGAGCTGCCATGTACTGGGGCATAGTAAATTTTCTAGATGTAGTGTGTTTTGTTGCAGTACTATCCGAAATGAAATATTGCTCCAGCAGACGAGGACTCCACAGCAATCTGTGATTGATTGATGGCTTGCTAGGGGCACTCAGAGGGGCACTTCCCTCTCTATCTCCGGTTTCCTTTTTGGCCATCCTCCAGGCTCTTAGCACATCTCTGAAATTTGCCAAATTATATGTTGTATGTGCTTCATTCCTTTTCCAAAACTACAGACAGCTCCTTTGAAACTTCCTCAAATGAAGAGCAGGCAAAGCTAAGCTTAATACGAAGAGCAACTTCCCAAGTCTCTAGAATATGGGCAGTCAAGCAGGGGGTAGGGTTTGAAGAGGGTCAGGAGGGTTTTTGGTCCACCTACCATGATAGAAAGGACTGTGTCTACTATTTGCAATGAAATAAGAAACAAGCGAGGGAGGGTGTGGTTTTTTTGTTTGTTTTTGTTGTTTTTTGTTGTTGTTTTCTCTGTCAAATATGGGGAGCCAGGCTAGAGCAGGAGAGCTGTAGTGATGAGCATAGTTCTACTGAAAACTCCTTTAGTTACTCCTGGCTGTGCTCTACCTGACCCAATATTGCATCAGTAGTGATTATAACCCTGGTAAGAAAAATGTCCCCCATGAAGGCACTCAGAGCTCCACACAGACAACTAAATGCAACAATAAACAATAAGTCATAAAACAGAATGAAAAATTAAGTAAATAGCACCATTAAAAGAAATGCCCTTCAAACATATTTTAAATAGACTACATGCTCTTATAAACCAAATTTTTAGGGTAAAACATATAGAAAATAAACATATATATTTATATAAAATATTGTAAGAATCACAAAATATTTGCAGGAAACATGATTATATCACAAAATTAACTCACGATATAGCATAATGAATTATATCACAAAGTGTATACAGTGTACTTCAATTAAGTGACAGTAGCTTCCTGTTTATAACAGTAATAAATAACACAGAATTTTAACAAACTGTACTTAAAATTTAAACACCAAAAGACACTCACTAATGTGTTACAAAACTATAATTTGAAATAGGCGTGTTAACCATTTATTGAAAAGAGAATAATGACCCTAAGGAAGAAGTAAAAATTTGAGAGAATATGATTACTGGAGACTTAAGTTTAAATTGAATAGTGGATTTTTAACTACATAGAACAAATGAATGCATCAAAATACTTATCTCAAAATTCATAACTTTGAACAAATATTTTTGTAAATAGAATATAAATTACATATAAAATCACACTTATATGATATTCATCTCCAAATACAAATTAACCAATAAATGCTTGCACATTTATTCCCTTACAGTATATGAGTTTTTCAAAATTTTCATAGAAAATTTCATAGCTCATTTACTGAAATGTAAGACATTTTAAGGAAGTCCATTGTTGGGAGGGCTTCAGCCTAAATCTTTTCTATAGTATGTCTTTTTTTTAATTTTGATTTTAAAATATTTGTTTTTTAAACTTTTTCAACAAATATAAAATTGTGTATTTTTTAAACTTTTATTTAATAAATATAAATTTCCAAAGTACAGCTTATGGATTACAATGTCTTCCCCCCCATAACTTCCCTCCCACCCGCAACCATCCCATCTCCCACTCCTTCTCACATCCCATTCACATCAAGATTCATTTTCAATTATCTTTATATACAGAATATCAATTTATAATATAGTAAGTAAAGATTTCAACAGTTTGGACCCACACAGAAACACAAAGTGTAAAGTACTGTTTGATTACTAGTTATACCATTGATTCACATAGTACAACACATTAAGGACAGAGATCGTACATGGGGAGTAAGTGCACAGTGACTCCTGTTTTGACTTAACAATGGACACTCTTGTTTATGGCATCAGTAATCACCCTAGGCTCTTGTCATGAGCTGCCAAGGCTATGGAAGCCTTTTGAGGTTGCCAACTCTGATCTTATTTAGACAAGGTCATAGTCAAAGTGGAAGTTCTCTCCTGCCTTCAGAGAAAGGTACCTCCCTCTTTGATGGCCTGTTCTTTCCACTGGGATCTCACTCACAGAGATCTTTCACATAGGTGGTGGTGGTGGTGGTGGTGGTTTTTTTTTTTTTTTTTTTTTTTTTTTTTGCCAGAGTGTCTTGGCTTTCCATGCCTGAAATACTCTCATGGGCTTTTTAGCCAGATCTGAATGCCTTAAGGGCTTATTCTGAGGCCAGAGTGCTGTTTAGGACATCTGCCATTCTATGAGTCTGCTGAGTATCCTGCTTCCCATGTTGGATCGTTCTCTCCTTTTTAATTCTATCAGTTAGTATTAGCAGACACTAGTCTTGTTTATGTGATCCCTTTGACTCTTAGACCTATCATTATGATCAATTGTGAACAGAAATTGGTCACTTGGACTAGTGAGATGGCATTGGTACATGTCACCTTGATGGGATTGAATTGGAATCCCAAGGCACGTTTCTAACTCTACCATTTGGGGCAAGTCCAATTCAGCATGTGCCAACCTGTACCTCTCCTCCCTCTTTTCTTCAACTCATATTTAACAGAGATCACTTTTCAGTTAAATTTAAACACCTAAGAATAATTGTCTGTTAATTAAAGAGTTCAACCAATAGTATTAAGTAGAACAAAAAAAAAAATACTAAAAGGGATAAAGTATTAAGTTGTTCCTCGACAGTCAGGACAAGGGGTGATCAAGTCATTGTTTCTCAATGGGATGTTTCATTCTGTGTATACTTTATATAAAATCCAATCAGGAGGACTATATTCTTTTAAATGTTTTACATTTCCTTTTTTTATTATTATTATTTGACAGGTAGAGTCATAGACAGTAAGAGAGAGAGACAGAGAGAAAGGTCTTCCTTCCATTGGTTCACTCCCCAATGGCTGCTACGGCTGGCGCTGCGCCGATCCGAAGCCAGGAGCCGGGTGCTTCCCCCTGGTCTCCCATGCAGGTGCAGGGGCCCGAGTACTTGGGCCATCCTCCACTGCCCTCCCGGGCCACAGCAGACAGCTGGACTGAAAGAGGAGCAACCGGGACTAGAACCCAGTGCCCATATGGGATGCCGGCGCCGCAGGTTGAGGATTAACCAAGTGAGCCATGGCACCTTAAAAGCATCCAAAAGCCTATATAGTACACTAACATGATCCATAGTCACCATAGGGTGCAAATGAACCCCTGATATGGCTAGAACCTGATAACTGTCAATCATCGTTTTCCCAATCATCCCTCCCTAATTCTCTCCTCAGCCTCTGCTAACAACCAGCACAGTTTTAACTTCCTTGAGATCACCTATTTTTTCAGACTCCGTGCCTGAGGTCTTTGGATCCATTCTTCTGTGCTTGGCTTATTTCACTTCACATTATGACCTCTAGTTCCACCCATGTCAGTGAGAATGAGATATCACCCCTTTTTAGTACTGCATAACAGCCTGTGTGTACTACACCTGTTTTGATCCATTCATCAATGAAGGGACACCTAAGTTTCCATTTCCTGGCTGTTGTGAATAGTGCTAAATGAACACAAGAGTGTAGATACCTCCTCAACAGTCAGATTTTATTTCACTTAACATTTACCCCTAAGAATGGGACTCATTCCAGGAATGTAAGGATGATTCAGTTATACACACATCAATAAATGGGATATACCACAACAGGACTTGACACTAGATTTTGGATCCACAGGGGGAAATTGGAACTGAACTCACTGGAGCTGGGGCTTTGGAGAGGCTTTCCCACAGTGAGCTGGGACTAGAAGATTCTTCTCCAAGCCTAGAGAGACAGCTAGAGAACTTTTGCTTTTCTTCAGGGCTTTGAGGAAGGAAAACTTAATGCCCTATGAGCAATAAAATTCCCAAACCTGTGTGCCATGT